TCTCCAGGAAAAACAGAGCAGGGAAAAAGAGACTTGGATGAGGTCCTTGGTCACAGTTCAATTTGGAGGAGGTAGAGGACAAACTGTGGATGGGAAGGCTCCCAAGGGCAGCTTCCCTTCCTGTCTTTTAAAGGGATTTTCATGAGGACCCAAAGCTCTCACTATTCATTCTTCCTCTGTGCTCTGGCTCAGTGGCTGACAGGAAGAAGACATATCATGGACATAGCTCTTAAACTGTGTCTCTGAACAAAAAGGGATTAATCTTTAAGGCAGACCCCCCCTTTTCATTTTATTTTTGTTTTATACTTATGGGTGTTCTGCCTGCATGTGTGTCTGTGCACTGTATATATGCATGGTGCCTGTGGAAGGCAGGGAAGAGCTTTAGCTGTAGCGCTTTGGAAACGAAGTGATAGATGGCTGCAAGCCAGCACCGGGAAGCTGGGAATCCAGCCGCGGTCCTCTGGCAGAAGAGCCTGTGATATAAACCACTGAACACATCTCTCTAGTCCCCACACTCTCACTCTTGAGACATTATTTCCCATCGCCAGAGGAACTATACTTCTATATTGAACCACATTAGATATTTATAACCTAGTTCACAAAATAATAATGCTTTTCTGCAACATTTCTTGCTAAGAAGGATAGATAGCTTAAGCACACAGTATGCATTTTTATTATGTGTAGTGAAGGTGTTGTTTGCTGTAGGGCACATTTCAGGAAGGAAAGGTTAGGGAGATGATTTACAATCCAGGGTTTTTTTTGCTGCATTCTGGGTACTTCCTTAAGATGCCACAGCACCTCTTTCTTTAAAGTTCTGAATCTTTGAACTATTTAAGTCTGGGAAGTTGGTCTAGTGGCCACGTCTCTACTGCATAGATTTAACTCTGATTGGTTGAACAAACCTGGAACCCTTCTGAATTTACAAGTTAAAACTCCAGTACACGGCCCATCTCTTAAGCTTTAAGGCCACTGCAGTGATGATTAACACCAAACTAAACTACCTGATGCTAGTAAGATTCTTAAGTTCCAATAATTATGTTTACTGCCTTAGCCCCACTGCCCATGCGCATACCGATATCCCCTTTGTTTTGAGTGATTAATTCTGTTTCTTGAACTCTGCCACTCCAAGATCCAAGCATTCACACTGAATTCATAAAGAATTAACACTTAGCCCAACTCACTGCCTTACTTAAAAATTATTTGGATCAGTTAGATGGCCGATAAGGTGTTTTATAGGAACACTTCTTAGGAATGTGTTTCTTGCAGACAGGATAACGTGAATGTCCTCTGAACCCTCTTGGGCAATGGTTCTCAACCTACCTGATCCTGCAACCCTTAATACAGTTCTTCATGTTGTAGTGACCCCAACCATAAATGTATTTTGCTACTTCATAACCACAATTTTGCTACTCTTATGAATCACAATGTAAATATTTGATATGCAGGATGTCTGATGTGTGCCCCCCCCCCCACAGCAGGATTGCATTCCTCAGGCTGAGCTGTTCTTGGGGGACATGCTAGGAGAGAACAAGATTACTTGATAAATCTACTTTTGCATTCAGAACTCATAAAAACTTTATATAGCTTTCTCTTTAGTATTCTAATTCAAATGTTTTAATCTCAGATGCCTTTGCATTTTTAAAAATTACAGAGAACTCTAAAGAGCTTTTATTTGGGCAATATCTATAGTGATCTTATACGTTTTTTTTTTAAATTTAGCATTGAGAAGTTTAACAAGCATTCCCTTGAGACAATATCAAAAGTTAGTAATAGTTTTTGAAAAGTTAATTACAACATGAAATGGACACTATACCAATTTTTCATTTTGTTGAAACCCATTGCTTAGTCTTGAACTTTGAAAGGCTGTTTTTTTTAAAAAAAATATTTATTTATTTATTATGTATACAATATTCTGTCTGTGTATATGTCTCCAGGCTAGAAGAGGGCACCAGACCTCATTACAGATGGTTGTGAGCCACCATGTGGTTGCCGGGAATTGAACTCAGGACCTTTGGAAGAGCAGGCAATGCTCTTAACCACTGAGCCATCTCTCCAGCCCCCCTGAAAGGCTGTTTTAATTGCTTTGTACCATCATGTAGTGGCCATTTGTAACATAGTAGTTCACTGACTTATTGCAGCTATTTGAACTTTGACTTCTTTCATTGTTAAAAATGATGCCTTTCATTCAAGGTTAAAAGTCACATTTGCTAATATCACAAATTATAACAGTGTCAAAGCTTACAATGGTGGGCAACTGTTTTCCAAATCTTGTTTTTACTCTGCTCTTCCAGAGGATTATGGCTCAATTTCTAGCACCCACATGGTAACTCAGCTGTGTGTTACCTAGTTCTAGGGGTTCTGACAATCCTTTCTGGCCCCTGAAAGTACCAGTCATGCACATGGGCACAGACATATATGCAGGCGAAATACCCATACACACTAGATAAAATAAAACAATAATACTAATGAAAAGATGTGCTTCCATCAAGACCCCTCCAGCCAGTCTTGGATGCTCAGGCACACAGTTTGACTCCAGAGTCAATCTCAGTGTGGCGCACCCTGCATTTTCTGTTTTCTGTCCTGCCTCATTACCTTCGGTACATATTCTGGTGCATTCCCCCAGATGTTTATTTATAAAAATGGGCAAATCTGTGAGATTCTTTTTGTATACATTGTATCTTCTCATAGGCCATGAGCTCTGCATGATATTCTCTGAGCCCCCAGGGACTTGAGTTTTGTGATTGTTTTAGGATTGTGGCTGTTTGGAAAAAAAAATGGTTCCCAAAGGGAGTGGCACAGTTAGTAGGCGTGGCTTTGTTGGAGCAGGTATGGCCTTGTTGAGGAAGTGTGTGACTGTGAAGGCGAGCTTTGAGGTCTTTTGCTTAAATGTCACTCAGAGTCTCAGTCAGCATCTGTTACCTGCAAGATGCAGGACTCTCCGCTGCTCCTCCAGCACCATGTCTTCCTGCACACCACATGCTCCCTGCCATGATGATAATGGGTTGAACCTTTGAAACTGTAAGGGAGCCCCCTCAATTAAATGTTCTCCTTATAAGAGTCGCCAGGATCATGCTGTCTGCTCACAGCAAGAGAAACCTTGGCTGATAAGAATCAGCCAAGGATTGTGTTGAAAATAAAAGAGAACACCCAATTGTCCAACAGAACAGCAAAACATGAACCAGGACTGGAGAACTGGAACGCACGCTTTCTCTATTCATGACCAAGTCTTTACAGTCCTGAAGGAATTTAGGAAATCTTACTAAACCAAGGGGTTAGAGCTGTTTCCTTGTTTAACAAGACTACAGAGAAACAACTGCGTGTCTGTCGTCATTGCATCTGTCTCTGCCGATAAATAAGATGGCATTATAAATCACTGAGATGGATGATCTTCTTTATCACTCAAACTAGACTTAGAATCACCTAGGAGATCCCATTTGGATATATCTCAGGGGAGGGAGGGTTCCAGAGAAGTTTACGTGAGGAATGAAAATCGTCCTTGGCTGTGGGTAGTACAGTCCCCTGGACTAGGGCTATGGACTGAGGAAAATGGGAAAGGAAGGAAGCTGAGTGCTAGCAATTATCCCTGGTTGATTCTTGACTATAGCTACAACATGACAACTGTCCCCTGCTCTTACCACACTGCCATTGCTATCACAAAGGACCTTAGCCCATAAAACCATGAAACCAAACAAACTTTTTTTTTTTAAGTGGCCTTTGTCAGGTGTTCTGTCATGGTGATGAGAAAAGTAACTAATATAGTCACTGAAAGTGATGTCTTATCTCTGAATTCAGGCTAGAGGAATTCGAAGTCTGCTATCAGATAGCATGCAATTTTGAGTAATTTCTTCATTTAGTGGGTTTTCAGTTTCTTAGTAAGTTGGGGTGCAGAAGGAACTCAGGTTCAGTAAGTTCCATTCTGATTTTAAAACTAAAATTGCGGGCTGAGCGTGGTGATGCATTCTGTTAATCCCAGCACTTGAGAGGCAGAGGCCGGCAGATCTCTGAGTTCGAAGACAGTCTGGTATACATAACAAGTTCGAGGATAGTCAGGACTACACAGAGACCCTGTCTTGTAAAACCAAAAACAACTACAACAGCAGCAGCCAAACCTCCAAAATTCTGTCTCTCTCTCAGTCCCAGGCAAGTGGAATAGTTGGCCACTCTCCAACCCAGCAGAGCTATGAAGTTGGCAAAGGGGTCGAGTGAGTATGTGGTTACAGGCTAAATATATAGGAAATGCTTTCAGTTTTTATTTCTCCTAGGTTCCTGCAGTTCCTGTCATATCCCCAAGTGTGGAAGAGCACCATCTGGACACAACTATTGATAATGAACTGGCCGGTGAAATCTGTTTCGTAATCAGCAGACACAAAATAAGATCTTGAAAACCCACCTGCAATGATACATCCTCCCCACACCACTAGTCCTCCAGCCTGTCTCTTTAAAGGAAAGTCTTGCATTCTGCAAGAAAGTCCCTGTTGATCAGGTAGACTCACTGTCACCCCCCCCCATCCCTCCTGTTGGAATAATAGCCGCAATCAGAGAGGCAACAGGACAATAAACTATACATTCCAGCCCCGCCCCAGGGGACCAGCATGGAGTTGTTCTCTCACCAAGGATTTATTTACTCTGGCTTAATAGGAATCTCTCATCTTAAAATACAATGTGAGTTTAATGTCGATGACAAGGGTTGGATGGCCGGTCTGAAACTGAGTCTTCTAGTCCCTGAGAAGACACAGCTGGTGCGGCCCCAGCCCCAGCTCCTTTTCTCCGTGTGAGAGGTGCAACCCTGACATGAAGGAAATTGCTCCAGAGGGGCCTGTTTGGTCTCAGGGACTCATTCCAACTCTGACACCTCCATCTAGGCTGCCCCTTTCTACGAGGCAGAATAAAACAACTCTCCCAGAGGCTGGACTCAGGATGACATCAACATTTTTTCCATCTGGAAGAAATTGAAATCACCAGTTCATTTCGTTGGTAGTCTCCTAGGGAGGAAAGGCTGGGGAGTGGAAAATCATAGCTTGGAACTCCACTTAGGACAAACAGCACTTTCCCCTCGGTGTGCGGAGTGTGAGAGGGGGATTCATCTTGAATTCCTCCCTGCTTCCTGTCTTTGTCATCACGCTGGAGGCAGCATCGAGGAGGATGGCTGGGATCAAGGAAAACACGGCGTGTGCCATTCTGGAGAGGAAATGGGCAAGACACTGGCCAAGTCACACTGGCTGTAGAACTTTGGAGCCATCTTGCTGTTTTGGAAGTAAGGGGGTAGTGTTGCCTAATCTTCCAGACCTTTCCATCCTGGAAAGCCAGACGGCTGTGTCAGCAGCTTTTCTGTCTTCCTCGTTTTTCTTTGCCTCTCCCTTGAAAGTGAACAGGGTGATGGGGTGGCCTGGGCTGCTGAGAAGTGGCGTGGAGACCAAAGTTGGCTGGATGAGAAGCTAATGCTCTTTCTCTTCCCTTCTTTCAAGTCCCCCCTCTCAGCAGGAGCCTCCTCGTGACACCAAAACGGCTTTGCTGGCTTCCAGAGTCAAACCTTGAGCCAAACTGTTGTCTTTTTTTCTGTCATTCACTACATTCCTTCTAAGCCCACCATCTCGTCTTGGAGCAGAGTGCTTCTGTATATTGAAAGTAGGATGTTGGTGAACTAGGAATCTGAAAACAAAGTCCTGGCTTGTAGGATTTATCTATTTTTATGGCTTCAATACTCCTTTCATACTTAGTCTGAAGATGACTACAGTTTAGCTGCCTGCTTAAAGATTTTCAGAACATTTAGCAGTCTGTTCTCACGGGCCAGAGTGAACCAGTTCTAGCACACAGCTGCTCTGGCATCATTTATAAATGATGTGTTCATAAGACCAAGGTGTCAACACAGTGTAGGACCAAAGTATATACCCGAACCTAAGTGGAGCCTTCAACTGAGTTTCATCCCTTGACTAGTGTATCCTCTGCACTTTTATAATCTTTCTTAATGCAATTCTAATACATTGCCAACCCAAGCTTAGCTCCAGAACTTAGAGGGTGGGAGATCACAAAGACTAACTTTTTGTTGCTAACAAACTGAACCCTGACCAGATCTTCTGTAAAGCCTTTTCAAAACGTTAATGACTTAAAGAGCCTACCTCTCTTTCTCCGTCCAGTTCTCAGTGTTTAACTTCCAGCCTTCCTTTATTGTGTAAGTTTGCTCTGCAGGGCCAGGCCGGTTATGGCTCTGGAACAAAGTACTCCTTTTCCAGGCAGAGAGATGTTTCATCTGGAGCCAGCCTCGACTTTTCTTTTGGCTTTAATATAAGCATGAAAATATGAAAATGAACAGCACAAACAAGGTCTTCTGGCTTTCTCCATGCAGCATAGGGAGCCAGGAAAGGCAATAACAGAATTCAATCATCCCCTCTCCTTTCCTATTGGCTTGATTTTAAGTTTGCTTCCAGAATAAATATTTCACAGGTTTCTTTATTCATGTGGAGCTGGAGGAAATGAAATAACTTTGGCTCAGGTGAATGACTGTGGCTCTACCTGCTAGTTCTGGTCTGCGGACTTTAGTGCTGAATTTATGATTCTTACCTAGCCCTGTGGCAAAGACTAAATAAAGACAGTCATGAGGTGACTGAGTAGGGATTCAAGAGCAGATTATTAACCAAGGTGGGGAAGAGACAAAACTGAATTGACTGGGTGTGTTCATCTCCTGAAATTCAGTTCTTTCTCCAAAATGGAAAACTACAAGAATGCCATTGGATTGGGAGGGAAGCCTTCAATAAAATCGTAAATTAGCTGGGTTCTTCATAGACTAGGAGTCAAGTAGAGTTGATTGTAGGTTAGTCTTGGGAGCAGAAACTCGCATACATACTCCAAAGAGGCAAGCAGGGCACACTCAAGCACACACGACTATTGAGAGGGCACAGCTAGGGCCAGCCTGAAGCAAAATTAAGCAGTTTCTTTCAGCATCTTTTGTTTTCTTTTGCTGTTATTTGCAATGAATGTTTGTGTCTTAAATCTGTGTGTAGGAATTTGAAGCCCTTATATGATGGTATAGGAAGTGAAGTCTTTGGAAAGTAGTAAGGTCATGAGTGTGGGCTCTTATGAATGAATGAGATTAGTGCCTTTATAAGGAACGACGCCAGGACGTTTTCCTCTCTAGCCATCCTTCCTCTCCTTCTTCTCCCTCTCTCTGATCTTTATCACATGAAGAAGCAACATGAAGACAATCTCCCACATGCTTTGGTGGCAGGACAGAGAAAAATCAAGCCAGAACCTTGTTTCTATTGTGAACTCTGGGGGAGAAATGTTTTACTAAGTTTTGGAGCATGTATGCAACAAAACCATCTGGCCAGACAAGGTATGTTCATTGGTACAATAGCAAGATGATTTGGGGAACAACTGCTTTCTGATTGGATTTGGCACCTGATACACAGGAGGGAATTTACAACTGTTATTGTAAATCTGGTTATGTAATTAAGCCCTAGTTGGGAAAACACTTTTGGTGTATTGCTATGTGGTGATAGCCTTGATCTCTTAAATTGACTTCTGAATATTAATTAATTGAGACTGGGTTTCCCTGTGTAATAACCTTGGCTGTCCTGGAACTCTCTTTGTAGATCAGGATGGTCTCAAACTCACAAAAATCCAACTACCTCCCAAATGGGAAGATTAAAGGCATGTACTACCATGTCCAACTAAATATTTATTTCTATGCCCATGTATTAGTGGTACTATTGTCTTTAGACAGAGAAACTTCTTTTTTCCATTGGACATGAATTTATAACTGATCAAAATTCTGAGAAGAAATGAATGTTGAATATTCAGCCCTAAATGAGGTATTATCATCCTCTCTGTAGCTCAAGAAACATTGAAGAAGAAGGTGTAGAAAGAATGTAAGAGTTGGAGGGAAGTGTAGAGCCTTATGGAACACTGCCTTTTGGGCACAGCATGGCAGCTGTGCTCTTTAACTCTGGAGCTGAGGCTACTTGCACTGCTCTGCACAAAGGCTTCGGTGTTGTCATGGAATGGGGAGTGACTTGCGAGGTCTTGTCCCTTTCTAAGTATTTTTGGCAGTTGATGGATGCTGGTGGAGGGAGAGACATTTTCTTCAGTGGTGTAGCCACTGGTAAGTTGACCATGTTCCTGTAACAACCTCCTACTCATGTTTCTGTAAACTCTCTAGGTCACCAACAAGCATACACACATACAAAGAAACAAGAAAATAGAAGGGAAATACATTGTGAAAATGTAATAATAAAACCCATTATTATATATAATCAATATAGGATAATAAAACTTAATATACAAAAAAGATGATCTTCTGCAACCTAGGAAGCTAGTCCTTAGCAGACACCAGATGTATTTTTCTCTGGTGGCCAGGGGAGGTCTGGGTTGTCGATGCTCACCCTCTGGCTCAGCCCCAGGGAGAGACCAGAGGGATTGGCTCTGCCTCAGCCCAATCTGCTGAAGAGCCCAGCAGCAGACAGTCTGTTTCTGCTGTCAGCTATAATTTCTTCAATGTTCTCTCCCAGAGCCCGAGAAGCTGTGGATTTTGAAGTCCCTTCACTTTTGAGAGTGTTGTTTTTCTTATCACAGGTGACTCCACAGTCTGGGCTGGCTGTTGAACACATTTTTCCAGGAGTCAATTGCATTCCTACTTCGTCTATTCACCAAAGTCTTTTCCTTTTGATGGCTGAATAGTGCCCTTTGCTGTTATGAGTACAAGTACAATAGAACTCCATGAAGGAAGGCAGGTGTGGTCTGAGTGACAGGTCATGTATCTGAAATAAAGAATACATATACATTTCATGAACGTCTCTTTTACTCAGTTTACATGAAAATTCACCTTCACACATATGTGAGTAGATCTATATAACATGTTCATATATGAGTGTACATATATATGCCAACATATATATGTATGTATATGTACACTCATATAAATATATACATCTCTTTCTAAAAGTTAATACTTGGTAAGTGGAGAATCTGGTCTGAGGAAACACATTTCACCATCTTCTGTTAGTTTAAAGTCAAGGTATCTTTAGGAAGAACCCACACTACTTCAGGTTAGGTGTAACACTCCCTCTCCCAGGAAGTATTTACTGAACACTCACCCTGTGCCAAACCCTGTTTGGGGCATATCTGTGAACAGCAGAGGCCAGCTCCCAGCCCTTGTGGTGCTTCATGTTCAAGGGTGCTGCGTGTGGTCATCCCATGCTGCAATGCTTAAAATGAAAGCTGTCCATACTCTTCCTAGAAAACAAAGATTTCCCCAACCCCTGGAGACCCGAGAAGCCCTTTAGAGGCATAGCTGGGCTTCCTTGGTCACATGTACTTGTCAACGGTATCTCTTTCAGCCTGTGGTAGGCACAGGTGCTCTTTACAAACTATCTAACATCTCACTTGGGGCTGTAAGGTGAGCCACCCGCTTAGGTGTATCTAAGGCAAATGTGTATCAGTATTTTTTGGTGTTGCTCATATGTGTGTGTGTTTGGGAGTGACACTGAGTAGTAGACAATCAGTTGGGAGAGCCAATTCTGAAGAAGATGGAGTCTCCCTATCTCAGCAGTTCCCTGAGCTCTTCATCTAGCCACGGGACCTTGTGACACTTCTGCCATCTGTGTAGGCATTGGTGTTGTCATTGTTCAAGTCTTGTTTAGGCAGCCATATTGTTGACATTTCATGGGTGTGGCTCCCCTGTCCTATCTAGAAGACACAATCTCACAGTGTCTTCTCTTCCATGATGTTCCCTGAGCCTTAGGTGTAGGATTTGTGTTGTATATGTATCCGTTGGGGTTGGGCATCCCATAGCCGGATGTTCCCTGCATTTATGGTCTTCAATAATGGTCTCCATCTGCTACAAAAAGATACTTCTGTGATGAAGGCTGAGAGGTACCCTGGGTAAAATGTGTATTCTCTAGCCTGAAAACCTTCATGATAGCAACTTCCAAACTTTAGCTTCCGGAGAGGTGCTAAATGTTTGGTTACCTGTTTTAGCCTCTGGAGATGGAGCTCAAGGGCCTTGTGAAGAGACTTGATGGGATATCAGTTTAATAGACACGGACTAGCTATGCTCCTCCTGTCTGGGTCAACTCTGATAGGAGTCACGTTGAGCCTGACCTCCCCATGGCTACCCTGATAATGACTAGCTTCCTTACCTTAGCCTTGCCCAGGGTAAGAAATGCATGCTGGGAGGTTTATGAAGGAAAGAGGCATTTGATAAGACACTCAACTAAATGACTTATTCACCACAAAGTAGACATTGTGGTTTTCTTGAATCACATTCAGGTCAATGTGTACTTGGTTTTATTAAAAAATCTAGGGTCATTTGCCTTGGCCTGAAGTGAGTTGGCTTAGTTCAGCCACGACTGTAATTTTGCCTAGAGCAAAGGGGGAAATTTGCTCCAACTGTCAAGGCTCTTGAGAAGATGGAGTGGGAAGTGAAGAAAAACCCAGGGGTATGGAAGCTCTGCTGTTAGTAACTGAAGGCCCCACTTCTTTCCTTCCCTGGGTCTCAATTTCCTCATCTGTAGGATGGATAGGGTAGAACGGAAGGCCTTTTAAAGTTCTTCCAACTCAGTAGACTAGGATTCCATGCAACACTCCCTATTTTCCAAGGACCTAGTGTCAAATGAAAATTTAAGACCCTTTATTAAATTATGAAGAATTCTAAGATATAGCTGGATGTGTGGTACATGCCTTTAATTCCAGAACTTGGGAGGCAGAGGCAGGTAGATCTTTCACTTTGGGGCCAGCCTGGTCTACAGAGTGTGTTCCAGGCTGTACAGAGAAACACTGTCGTGAAAAGCAAAAACAAATGAATAAAAAGAATTCCAAGACAGAAATAGTAGAATATAATAATAACCAAGTGCCAAGCTTTCTACCCTTTCTAAATGTGGCCTATTTGTCTTATCAAGTAGCATGCCTGTGAAGCTGGATTCGATCTTGTGTCCCCACTACTGCCCTTCACTGATCACACTTGGTGGAACATCTGCGTGACAGAGAGGGAGAACCAACCGTGGGCTTTGTGGTTAGAAATAGAAGGACTCTATCTTTAATATTAGCCCAATTGGGCTGGGTATGAAGCTCAGTTGATAGAGAACTTGCCTAACTTGAAGAAAGTCCTTGGTTTGATCCCCATAAATCAAGCCTGGTAGTGCATACCTGGAATCCCAGCACTGGAGCATTAGAGGCAGGAGAAAAAGAAGTTCAAACAACAACAACAACAACAACAAAAATGTTGTCCTGTGCAGTAATCTTGTGTTCCTGCCTTCTCTACTCCTTACTCCAGGTTCCTCAACTGTTGAGCAGAGACAATCACACCCACCCATAGGGGGCTGAGAAAGAAGGGTAGCACGAAGTAGGCACGGGTCCAGCAGACTGGAATCATGCTGTTGCTGAGTATTGTTTATGGTAAGTTCAGAGTTCCACCTGAAACAGGATTTCACAGACTTGTGGCTTTTAAAGGCAAGATTCTACTAGAGAGACAGATTCAAACCAGACATTTCTTTTTTTTTAAAAAAAAAAAAAAAGTCCTGAGGCTTCTTTTACAGTAAGCACTTCGGCGGGCTCTGTCTTCTGGACCACACACTCCCTGGGGCAGGAAGTCAGGGTAGGCCCACTTTAAAATCAGCTTTGGGACTGCTACTTTTTTCACTCACCCACGCCCTCCCGCTCTTTCTGTTCTTCAGGACTGCACGCAGTTCTGGAGGAAGCCATTCGTGTTACACACTAGATGCCTGGCTGTGTTTGCCCTCATCCGCATGTTGTGTGTACCCACTGGTGCGGCTCTTCTCAGGTGAGTGTTGCCAGAGAAGAGTCCCAGCCTCTCTTTGGGACTCTCTCGGCTTTAGTGAATGGTACCATAAGCAGAAGTCAGCTTCCGGCAGTAAGAAAATAGCATCCACTGGTGTGTTTATTCTCTCACTCACTCACTATTTGAACAACTAAATACTTGTTAGCTGTGGAGCCAGATACTGAGAATTTTGAGGAACTCAAGGAACAATGAAAGAGTAAGTAGTCAGAAAGCAAAATAAACTTAAAAAAAAAAAAGACTATAAAGGTGTGAGTGCGTGCAGGTGGGGATAGGGATGACTCCCACGGTGTGTGCAGGTGGTGATGGGGATGACTCCCACGGTGAGTGCAGGTGGTGATGGGGATGACTCCCATGGTGAGTGCAGGTGGTGATGGGGATGACTCCCATGGTGTGTGCAGGTGGTGATGGGGATGACTCCCAAGGTGTGTGCAGATGGTGATGGGGATAACTCCCATGGCATGTGTAGGTGGTGATGGGGATGACTCTCATGGTTCGGGTTTCTGCATGAAGAACCAGAGGAAGGAATATTTGAGTCTGGTGCTAAAGGATGATTAGGTGGTTGCCTCCTCCTCCTCCTCCTCCTCCTTCTTCCTTTGTTTTGTTGTTTTCAGGAAAAAGTGAGTCACCTGAAGGGAACCCTTCAAATCTCACTATTGTTTCTTGATCCCTTAAATCATCCTGAGCAATTTTCTGAGACATTCGCTTCAGGATTAGCCTGGTGGCAAGTCAGCTTTACAACACTGGCTTCAGCACACAGGCAGAAATAGACCTCAACCTCTTGTTCAAGGGTACGGCCACATTTAGGGCTGAGGTACCCCATCTTTATCTTAGTTATGTCAGTCCTCACTCCCAGTGCTTTCATCCCTTCTCTCACAAAGGAAGATGTCCTCGATTCTCCTAAAAGCAGCCCTTCTTTAGGTAGTCCTGTCCCACCTCACCTTCTAGCCTTGCTTATTACGTTTCCTGTCTCATAGCTTCAAACTCTTCGACTTTACATCTCCTTTCCTTGTGTCAACAAACCCCTTCAGTCTTGTGCAAACTCAAAGCAAACAGAAGCTTCCCAGCCCTGCTGTCCCCTGAAGCTCCTGAGGTGCCCACAGCCTTCTTACACACACATTAAGGAAATGGGCTGTTGCAGCCATTGGTAATTTCCTTGATCCTTCTTCATCCCGTATCTTCTAACCCTTTGGCTTCCAGCCCCTCACCCTCATGGGATCTCAGTTCTCTAAAGAACCTCCAGACCAACAAGTCTACTGACACATCTCCAGCTTTCCTTGCCATCAGTGTCGTTTAGATCTTCCAAATGCACAGTTCTTAACTGAGGTTATCCCATGTCTTCCACAGCATTGTGGTCCCAGCTCCCCTGCCTCTTCTGCTCCCACTCTTTTCGGGTCAACCCTACCCCAAGGGGATCCTGTAAAGTCTCTTGACCTAAGCTCTAGGCTCTCAAGCCCTGGCTCTACTCCTTCAGCTTCTCCGAGTACTCCACTCTGTAGTGAGTCTTTCTCTGTCCCACCAGCCTGATCCCAAATCACGACACAGACTATTTATTAATTATGAAAGCTTGGCAGATAGCTTAGTCTTGTTTCTAACTAGCTCTTATAACTTAAATTAACTCATATCTTTTAACCTACATTCCTCTAAGTGGCTTGGTTACCTTTACTTTGTAATACCCATGCTGCTTGCCGGCGTCCTTTCTTCCCTGAGAATCCTGCAGGGCTATTGGCCATTTGACCTTTTATTAAGCCAATCCAAGTGACACATCTTCAAAGTCTACAAAAAGATTATTCCACAACACCACTCTAACTTCCGGTGGTGTCTATGATCTTCCGCTGAGAGAGCTCATGGGCACTTCAAATGCAGAACTCAGTATATTCTGCCTCAGATGCTTACACTGTGGTGATGAGCTTTATCCCAGCGCTTGGACTCAGGACCTGATGGCACTCTTTAGTCCTTGCCACTCTCTCGCTCCTTTCGCCTTTTCCCAACTGGGTCCCAAACCCTGTTTTGGGTAACTGAACAGTTCCTGCTTTGTTGGTATTAGAAAAGCAAGGGTTTCTTCCACCTGCTGGTTACTGAGAATGCCTCAAAGCACATCTTCCTTTTTCCTAGCTTACATGAATTCTCAGAACTTTACAATGCTTTACCCTGTGGGTCACAATCTGGGCCTTTCTGTTTTTACCTACACTTGCCTTAAGTATTTTAAAGCAACCTCTGATCTTTCTATGACTTGACCAACTTTCATCCTTAAGCCATTCTAAAGAGCTGCAGGGTGAAGAAGAGGAAGATCACATTTGAAGCAAGGTGTAGAACCAAAACGGAAGATTAAAAACAGTAGGAACTTGGCAGAGATAAAAGAAGAAAACCAAGATGCTTCCAGAAGAAAGAGATGGTGTGTGTGTGTGTGTGTGTGTGTGTGTGTGTGTGTGTGTGTGTCTTCTTGGCAGGAGGGGGGCTGTAATTAGTGGAGGTAGTATTTGAACTGGATCTGAATAGAGAGAAGCTATTTCTACAATGGCACAAGATGGGCTATACCGGGCATGTTTGGAAAAATAAGAAGAAATCTAGATTTGCTAGAAAAAAAGAGCGCAGTCTAAACTAAAATTGGTTTACTTGATAATTCTAAAATCCACATATTCCTTAGAAAGCGCTGACAGCGCAGAATGTAAGATTTTGGCTTATGCTGCAACAAAAACATTTACTTCAAATCTGAGTACTGTGTATATTTGTTAGGACACACACACACAGAAATACACACAGACACACAGACACAGACAAACAGACAGATGAGACCATATTGGGGATTGTTGGAATGCACAGGCTCGGTGGGAGTAAGGGCGAATTCACTCTCAATTGCAAAGTCATGAGTGAGCACTACTAACACAAGTAAACACACCCAGTGGCTGTGTCAGCTTGAGGAGGGACGAGGAACTGAGCCGGCATGAATGCAAGCAGAGATATCGGCCAGCATTTGGCTTAGGATGGAAAGGGCAAGCAGGAGTGTGTCAGTGAAAGCGGGAAGAGCAGGGGCTTCAGGTGAGGGGGCAGAGGAAACGTGAATGAATGTGTCAGAGGGGCAGGGCATGGCAGATGTGCTCACAGCTGGAGCTGTGGGAGAGACCTGGGGCCAGTTATCAATGGAGGTAGGTTTGCCTGGCTGTGGCTCTTCATGGGGAAGTCAACTTTGTCCCTCAGGGGACTTTTGACAGTGTCTCCAGGTTTTGTTTTAATTGTCACAGCTTGGGTAAAAGTTAGAAAGGCTGTTATATGTTCTTCAACAAACAGGACAACATCTCAAAACAAATTATCCTGTCAAAATGTGAATGGCACCAGGGTTTAGAAACCCTTAATAGAAATAGAAAAACAATAAGAAGAAGAAAAGAAAAAGAAATTTGGAAAGATAGGTGTCAATTCAAAACAAAAACAAGAACACAAAACAAATAACTAAAAGCTATATAATATAAAGGAGCTTTCTGGAAAGGTAAAGAAACATTATTTTTACTTAATTTAATTGGTTTCATTAATTTATTAAAAGTAATAATTCTAACAAGTGACAAAAGAGTATTTCTTAGTAAGATTCTTAGAGCTTAAGTATTGGTTAAGATTAGCACTTGCAGCTCTTTACAGAGGACCTGGGCTCAGTTCCCAGCACCCATGTTGTGCAGCTGACAACCTATTGTAACTGTAGCTTTAGATGATATGACGCCCTCTTCTGGCCTGTGTGGGCACCTGCATATACATGCTACACACACAGACACACACACATACACACACACATCTTAACCAAAATAATAATAATAATAATAATAATAATAATAATAATAATTTAAGTGTTGAGGTCATTGAAACAAAAAGTTCCCCAAAGAAAGGCATCATCTGTCTGTCTCTCTGGTCCTAGCTAGTTCTCTGCCCTAGAACTCCTCCTCCCCTACCTCCTCTCAAAACCTCAGGGAGTCCATCTGTCCACAGAGGCTTTTGGCAACGCTGACCGGGGAAAACAGGGCTGAGCTCCACATGAAGCCACTATAACAAGGATTACATGCATTGAACTCCAGCTTCCTGTGGCCTAGGAAGGACTAGCTCTGGATATTTGCAATCAGAAAGCTGTGGATCACAAGTCCTGAGCGACAATTATGTAGGAAACTGAGTCCTCACCATCTGATTTGTTATGAATCCTGCCTGCCCAGACCACAGCTATCTTCCCTCACGGTGTTAAAGCCACTCTGTGATAAAGATGGTAAATTTAAATTAGTCAGAAGTTACCAAGGAAACATAAGGCCTCCTAGGCCCATTTTTAACCTCCTAAACAAAGGTATTTACTCAACAATTAATTCCTAAAGTGTAGGAGAGGATTACCATATATACACTTTGTTCAGATTTAAGAAAAACAAAATACTATTAAAGTTTGTCACTTATAGCCTCAAAAATGTGAACTCAAGGTGACACTTAACTCAGAAATGGTCCAGAATCAATCTATCAGTGTCTTCAAGAGGAGCCAGAGGGGATGAAATAGAGAACTTGGCCAGCATCCCCAGGAGCTGGGTCTGGTGGTCCATGACCTATAGACAATATTAGAAAGTCACCTTGTCCCCGCAAAAAGAATCAGGAGCTCACAAGTTTTGAAGAGGTTCCTAGGCCTTCCCTGGGTCAGATGAGTCTGGATCCACAGCCCCTCTGCCCCTGTAGCTCCAACAGTACTTTATCCTGGTCCTTTGGGGCTCATCCTCAATTCTTCTGCAGCTGCCTCTGCTTTTAGGAAGCCAAGTGCAAAGTTCTAAAATTTTTTTATAGGCAGTACAGACAGGGCACCCTAAAGCAAAAAGCCCATATGGATAAACTCTGGATTTGGGTATACAACTTCATCCAACCCTAAGAACCAGTTTCTGACCCAGTGCTCCTGGATGGGCATCCATCACTTTTGTGAATTTCCTAGCCAAAGTCAGGTAGTCACATCTACACATGCAGAGAAAGGGGAGCCAGCTTTGAGAATGCCTGATGAACCCAATGCCTTGGGAGAAGGGTATCAGGATAACTGACACAGATGCTGCCCCTTCAGCTGGGAGCCCTGGGGTCAGCCTGCTCTGGAGAGACTGAGTACCATGGGCCATTTAAAATGTCAGGACTTGCTATCGCCATCAGCTGAGCGTTTAGAGCAAACATATCAAGCTGGGTGTGATGGCAAATGCCTGTAATCCCAGCTCTTGGGTTGATACAGAATCTTTATGA